GTGCTGGAGGAGGCAATTCCTTCACTTTTATTGGAATCTGAAGAACATCTCTTTCTTTCTTCCCAAGAAGCTTGTAACACAATAACTACCATTTATCAAGACCCCGCTGAATGCTTGGATCTATGCAAATAAAATTTAATCTGATCTACAGAACAACTCTATAAGGTCAGTGGGTATGTCTATTTTATCGATGGCTCAGAGAGGTTAAGTAATTTGCCCAAGTTTGTACAACTAGCAAGTGTCAGATCAGGGACTTGAATCCCAAACCCATGCTTTTAACCAATGTGCTATGCTGCCTCTCAGTTTCTCAAGGCTGCAAGGAAAGGGTTTCAGGTGCGCCATCTCAAGTCCCTAGGGAATGTCCTGGGCGGGAAAGAAGAGAGCAGCAAGAAGTACAGGAAAGCAGACAGGGTCTACACATGGACGGGGCATGGAGGGTGGAATGGTCGCTGGGAAAGACTGAAGAGGTTTTGTGGGGCTGAGAGGAGGGACCTGAGGAGGATGTGGTGAGCAGACGTGTGCCTGGGAAGGGGACAGTGGCTGTGGAGATGGCTGGGGAGTGGGGGAACGGGGTCCAGGAGTGGGCACTGGCTGTCGGAACGTCCAGAAGTGAGCAGTGCCCATCGTGGACTGGGTGGTTGGGGAGTGGGAGGGACCTTGTGTCAGAGGAGGGGTCTTTGTGAGCATGCAGCAGTGAGGAATGCTCCACCATGAATACTAAGGGCAAGAAGAAGAGAGAGGGCCAGAGGGGGCTGGGTGATGTTTAGCTGCTGGGGTGATTAATGGGGGTGAACGGAGGGTGAAACTCAAACCTTTCCAATGAAGATGGCGGGGAATGGTTGTCCAAGAACAACAGTGCACTGTTTCGTGGAGAAAGCCAATGTCCAGGGAGGGGTGGGTGAGGAGGATGCCAGGCGCAGTTGCGCCTTCGCTTTTTTCCCCAAGCTCTCTTTATTTACCATCAAACAGTAAATGAGACTATATTAGCCAGTTCCAGGGGACCCTCTGGATGGGCTTCCTACCTGCCTCCTGGCTTGGGAGAGACCAAGGAAGGCTGGCGTGGTTTGGGGAAAGAAAGAGTGAGGTCTGCGTTGAAAGCTGAGATGACTCCATGGACCACCCCCTGGTGGGGCACAAAACGGTGATGTGCTGGCAGAGCCACTGGCTCCCTCTGGATCAGAAAGGCACTGAGAGAGACGTGGGGGTTGGGAACCCAGATGTCCTGTAGAAAGCGATAGTGTTCTAAGAATGAAGTTTTTAGAGCAGCCCAGGCCTCAGGGAGGAAGGCAGGGGCTCCTTCTCTATGAGAGAGTGAGTTGGGGGAACAAGGAGGGAGGGCTTCCCATGGCCCTGATTTCAGGATGTTGACCTGGGTTTGAAGAATGGAGATAAAACTTGTGGAAAGTAACAGGCTTAAGCCACTCTCCCCTCATTTCCTACTTCTGTCTCTTCCTCTAGGTACAGCTGTTGGGAGCTGCCTCTCCTGCCCTCAATCTCCCTGCCTGTGGTTCAGAGGGAAGAGGGGCAAAAAGAATGAAGGGAATGATCTCAGTGCTGGTGGAGGTGAGCTTATAGCAGGGATTTAGATGGAAATTACCTCATGGGATAGGAGCAATTTTCTCCCTCTCCAGGCCTCTCACAGATGTGAAACAACTGGTGGATCCCACGCTCCCCCCCAACCATCTGAGGTCCCACTCTCCCCCCGCAGCCGTCCAAGGACATGATGTGTCTTGAACCTGTGCCTCTTGATTGGGAGGCCAGTGGGGGAAAGAGGTTGGGAGAAGGGGCCAACTCTCAGGGGTCCCCAGAGAGTTGAGGGAGGCTAGCGTCTCCTCAGGGAGAGAAAGGCGAAATGCCCATTCCTGACCCTAAGATCGCTTAGGTAGTGTGCCTGGGAGTCCTCCTACCTGGTCTTCACTCCTGTCTCCACACACAGCTTGGTCAAGTTTCTTTCCCTGTTGGAGTCTCACTCCCAGTCCCCTACTCTATCTCTCCAGGAGCCTACAGAGCACTTGGAAATCTGGTTAGTGGAAGGTGGCTGTATGGCACAAATACTCTGAGGTGCCACATGGCTTGCCTGGTAATGAGGCAATTGTCCCACATAGGGCTGAGCTCAAGGACTGCCTTCAAGAGGGGCTGGCCTCAGTTTGCCTGTTACAGAAGCTGAGGGCTAGCAGAGGCTGCCCTCTGCCTCACAAAGAAGGAGATAAATGGATCCACTGGAAAGCAATGGTCACAATCAAGTCTTTATTATGACTTAATAATTCATAATTACTCCAGACTTGCAGATAAAGCACAAGCCCACTGAGATTATTTCCCAGTGAGGAACACAGTCAGAAGCCGTGGGAAGGGGACATCAGGTCAGACATTACTTCCACAGGTCGTTAAATTCCTTCCTCTGCTTCCCAACCAGAACCTGGAAGAGATTCATTAGCTTCCTTGGTTGATTCCTCCTAACAGCTACCACCCTCTGAGCTTCTAAACAGGGCCATATCGCCCCTCTGTTCTTCCTAAGGCCAGAGGACCATCCCTGCCAAAATAACCTTAGAGCCTGGACTCTGGATTTCTGGAGTCTCTCTGCTCTCCATTCTGCTATTTACCTATGAGATCCCCTGAAGGAGGGCCTGGTGCTAGGTGTCTCAGGGAGATAACATCTTTCTGGCTCTTCTCCCTCTCCCTTACCTAAGTCCCCACATTGTAGGAGAACACCTCTCTAAATCTATGTAGGAAGAGAAGCAGGAAGTGCCCCTTCTAGTGTGGATGTCTTTGGTTCCCGGATCTGGATTTGAGGGGATGGCTCTTTCTCTTAAGAAGACATCTACCTAACATCGACAATGGAGATGGGGCCTAAATAGGGCTAGGGAGGCATGCCCAATTCCAGACCCAGCTCTCAGCTGTTCCCCTTCCCAGTGCATGCAATCCCAAATTCCACTCCAGGAAATTAAAAAAACATATATCTTGCCGGGCGCGGTAGCTCACGCCTGTAATCCCAGCACTTTGGGAGGCCAAGGCAGGTGGATTACGAGGTCAACAGATCAAGACCATCCTGGTCAAAGTGATGAAACCCCATCTCTACTAAAAATACAAAAAATTAGCTGGGCATGGTGGCGCGTGCCTGTAGTCCCAGCTACTCAGGAGGCTGAGGCAGGAGAATTGCCTGAACCCAGGAGGCGGAGGTTGCGGTGAGCCGAGATCGTGCCATTGCACTCCAGCCTGGGTAACAAGAGCGAAACTCCGTCTCAAAAAAAAAAAAAAAAAAAATATATCTATCTATCTATCTATCTATCTATCTATCTATCTATCTATATATATATCTTAAAAAAATACTAAAAGACCCAAGCAGACCCTCAGCTTCAAGGTATCTCCTCTTCTCTCTCTAGGGAAATTTCAAAAGAAGGAGTGAGTTTTGTTTCTCCAAGTACTCAGGGGAGACCACAAAGGGGTTTTATCTCTTCGTCTCTAGGAGGTCCTTGAGCACCATCTCTGCTGTGGCACGACCTTCTTCAAAATGCTAGAAGGAAGAAAGACTGGCTCCTGGACCAAGGGGATTTCGAATTAGAAAGGACTTCCAATTCCAGTTCTACAGACTTCCTTCCCATCAGCCTCTGCATCAAAAGTAAATGGCAGGCTAACCCTAGGAGCACACTGAAAAGTAGCTACTCAGCCTGGCGGTGTGGCACATGCGGGCAGTCTCACGTATTTGGGAGGCTGAAGTGGGAGAACTACTTGAGCCCAGGAGTTTGATTGAGGCTTCAGTGAACTATGATGGTGCCATGACACTCCAACCTGGGCAACAGAGCTGGACCCCACTTCAAAAAAAAAAGTAGTTACCCAGGTAAGGTGGATGGCACCAAACTCTCTCCCTTATCTGGACCATTTCCGGTCTCAAGAGAAGGATCAGTTAGGCGGATGACCCAAGTTACCCAGATCATTAACTGTGGAAGCACGAGATTTTTTTTTTTTTTTTTTAATGCCATCTCTTTCCTAGCTCCCTCCTATTCTCTACCGTCTCCCCAACATGCACGCAAATCCTAGCAACAAAAACTCCTAAATATAGGACAAACCTTCATGACCTACCATTTTGGCCCACCTGCAACCCCTGTCCCCCCGGCCCACCAGCCCCACATTTTTTTTCTCTCCTGTGCCTCTACTCTTCGATTCTAAAAAAAAAAAAAAAAAAAAAAAAAAAAAAAAAAAAAAAACCAAGAAGAAGGAATTTTCAATAGTCCCACTTGTCAAGCGAAGACCATCTTTTAACCTTCAACAGCAGCGAAAGCCGTGTGAACTCTCGGTGAACCAAGATTGAAGTCATAAATCACGCGTACAAAGGCGGCTGCGGAGGCTGGCGCGGGCTGCTGCACCTTTAACGCTTTCTGGGGCTGACAGGCGGCGGCCCAGCTAAAGTTCACAGCGCCCGGGGAGGGCCCGCCCCCGCCCCCCGGCCCGCCCCCGCCTCCCCTCCCCCATTCCGGTCCCGGCGGCCCCGGCTCCGGCCCCCGGCCCGGCCCGCCGCTCGGCAGCCGGAGCTGCGCACGGAGGAGGCCCCTTGGCTGTTCCCGCAAAGGGCGGGGGGCACATTTTCTCTCCTGCCAGCCCGCTCCATCCGGGTCGTTTATTCCCTGCCTCCCCTCACCCCTCATCCCCACAGCCTGCTGCATGTAAATAGGCAAATAGATCTACACGGACACAATAATTTAGCTTGTTTGTTTTTTGGCATTTTCTAAAAGACCCCAAGAGATGGACTTTTCTCTTCCCTTCCTCCTTTTAGAACTGGCATCCTTCATCTCTTGTCTATGCAGGCCCAATTATCCAGATCCTTGGGGCTCCAATAGGGTCTGAGTCATAGGAACCAGGAACACCTGGCTGAAACATGCCACATAATTAGATTTTCTTTTTCTTTACCTTTTCTTTTCGTTCTTTAAAAAAAAAAAAAAAATATATATATATATATATATATATATATATATTTTTTTTTTTTTTTTTTTTTTTTTCACTAAGAGGGCTGGAATTAGCTTCCTCGACTGGGACCGAGTGGCTGGGGTGGGGGTCAGAGGCACCTTCCTACGAAGTCCAGCTTTCAGCTCCTTGGAGCGATCTCCAAGTTCCCCCGAGTCGGGACTTCCTTTCCTCGGCCTCTCGGCACCCTCCTCCTCCTTCTCCGATCGTTTTTTTTTTTTTTTTTCCTTCCCCCACTGTCTTCTCTACGATTTAATTAAAGTTCAGCGACTCCACTTGCCTCTCCTCTCATTTCTTTCGGAAAGCGGAAACCAGGCGACCCAGCAGCCACCAGCCCAGCCGCCCCAGCTCAACCCCAGCAGGACGCTGGAAGGGCCTCCTTCGCCCGCCTCCCTCCGCCGGCGCTGGCCTCCTGGACCCGGGTCTGCAATCCCTCCGCCATCCCGCAGGTGTGCAGCCGCTTGGCCTGGGGGATCCGAATGACTGGGGCTGAATAGGAATGTCTTCGTGTTTCCCCAGACCCCCGGGGCCTGCTCCAGCAAAGTTTGGAGGGTGGGTACACCCCGACTCAGGCAAGTTGCTCCCCAAAAACCCATGACTGACTAATCTGATGTGACAAAAGCCCGTGATGGATTTGGTATATGTTAATTCACAATGCCCTTTCCTCCAGAATTTAACTATAAGTTAATACACACCGGAAACCACGCGCATACACGCTCCTTAATGGGCTTAGGTATTAGCGAGTCCTAACGATGCATACAAATGTGCTCTGCGCTCTGTAGGCCCCTCAAGATTTATGGGCCTTGAGCTCTCTGAAGCTGTAAACAAGGAGGGGGAAAAAAAAAAGAGAGAAAGCGAAAGAGACTGGGGGGAAGAGACAGAGGCCTGACTCCCAGGTTGTGGGAGAGAAGGGATTCTTTACGTATTTTCCTTCTCTTGCAAGCTCGGTGCGTGTGGGTTTTGGCGTCTGGGGTTGGTGTTCTGCCTGAATGCTGGCGTGCGTGGGCAGTGTGTTCTTTGCGCGCTAGGGTAGGATGCCTGCCTCTTTGGATTGCTGTGCAGGGGCCTGAACATAGCAGGCATTTGTGAGCATATATGCGTGAGTGTGTGCACGGTGTTAGGGTGTGTATGTGTGTGTGTGTGTGTGTGTGAGAGAGAGAGAGAGAGAGAGAGAGAGAGAGAGAGAGGCAGGCTTCCCTCTGGGCCAGGCTGCTGTCCCCTGAACTTGGTGAACAAATCTCTAACAACAATCGTAATAACAATAAATAACGAATAATAATGATAAAACAGTAGTTAACAGTCCCTGCATAACAGGATAACAATAAAATGCAAGAGGAAATATTTTGAGGAGGGGAGAGAGGAAGAAGTCAGGATCACAGCATCTGAGGGGGAGATAAGAAAGGACGGGAGGAAGAAAGCTTCTTAATATGTTCTTGGGGAGCTGAGGCTGGGAACACCTTACCGGGACAAGGGACAAAAGAGGAGAAGGAGAGCCAGGAGGCCACTCTTTATTGCTTTTTTTTTTTTTTTTTTTTTCTCGGCATTTTGCTTTGTGTGATCAGGGAAGGGATCCCACATATGGGGGTGGTTAATGGCTTTTGGGACTCCCTGGGAGCCCCTGTTTTAAGGAGGAGGCCAAATGTGCAGGGTCAGGCCAAGGGGCAGAGATGAATGAGGCGATGACCACAGACTTGATCCGGCAAGAGCACAGAAATGCCCGAGAGGACCTGCCTCGAGGGCCGGAGGGAAGCAGAAAAACATTTATGGCCGCCGGGGAGTGGGGAGAGCCAGACTGGGGCTCCAGCAGGCCCAGGGCAAGTTCCCTTTCTAGGGTCTTTATTAAAAAATTTAAAAGGAGTAGTTAAGGAGCCTTGAATTTTCCTTCGCGAGCTTGGAGCCTAGCCGATTTTTCATGAAGGAAGAAAAGACCACGGTCCCGGATCCTGCAACATCCACCTCATTCTCTCCAGGTACGGTTTTCTGGTCATTTAATGAGTTTGTTTATTCGGGGAGACGGGAGTCAGAGGCGTAGAGATACTAAGTTTGCTGGAGAGGAAGCCGCCCCACAGTTTCGGGTCTAACGAAATCCTTCCTTTAAAAACAATTGTACCAAGAAAAATAAAATCGAAGAGGAATATAGAAACACAAATTAGCCAACTTTTTTTAAAAGACAAGAAAAGAAATCATCGTAACAAATGAACGCGAGAACTTTTAAAAGATTTGTCAGAAACCCTTTCAGAGGTTTGGATTCTTTTTCAGAAGCAGGTGACCCATTTGGTCTGAAAAGAGAAAAACACTATCCACTGAGTCACTTATTTAAAGCCAGCACACACACTCATTGGAGAAAGCTCTGGGTGTCCTCGCATTTGAGAACAACACCGGGTTAATGACGCTGCGATACCTAATCGGACAAAACAACAATAAAATAAGACTAGTGGAAGCGCTGAGCGCAGAGCGCGGGGCGAGGTTTTGTATTCCAGGCCGCCGACTATGCAGCCGTCCGGGGCGATGGGGCGCGGGGCGATCAGACACCGGCTGGCGACTCCGCTCGGCCTCCGCAGCCCAGCCTGCAGCCCCGGGCCCCCAGCCTCCGAGCCTCGCGGGCTCTCTCCTCTCCGGCGCCCGATCGGGGCTAGCCCTGGTGAGAGGGTTTGGGGCCAGAGAAGGGCCGAACGACTCAAGCCAGACTATGCTTTTTCATTTTTCTCCCTTAGGCCTCTCCGCTGGCCGGAGCTCTCAGCCACCAGGAGACTGACGGAAGGGGCTTCTGAGCTGCATTGGGAGCGGGCACTGTCCCCCACCCACTCCTGCTCGGTTTCCCCAAGTCCAGCGACCTCCGACCCTCCTTGGAGGGAAAATACCAGTACCCGGACACCTCTGCACCCTGTTAGATGACTGGGCTTGCTTCAGAAATGTCTTACAAAGAAGAAGAAGAAAGAACGGCTTGGAGTCGTGTTTACATCTAGTTCTACTGATCCATTCACATCTGGAGAGTTTATTTATAACTCCCTCTATAACTCTCTGTTTGGAGGCACTGGTGGCTCTATTGACAGACTGATGTCTAGAAAATATTGCTGTATCTCTAACCATACCTAAATGTGCTGTGGTTGTATTTACAGATTTATGTTTGAGGAAAATATAATTATTTCCATTGTATTTGTGCATATACAGTAGTTATAGGAGCAGATTTATATATGGGAAAATATACGACTCTCTTACAGCCATCGTGCTTTATGTACGCTTGATCTCCTGACAGATTTATATCTCTGAACAGCTATATAGATAAAAATGTATATTGTTAGAATTATGTATCAGGAGATATATACTTATTGATTGTGATATAGAGTAGTTAGAACATTCACTCACAGCCATATATGGTGATGGAGATATTTCTATATTATTATCGCTATATATAGGCATATCTATTTATAACCACATAGTTACAAAAATAGACATATGTCATTATAGTCCTATATGTAATGCTGCAATCTCTCTCTAGAGTTATAGACACTTTCAAATGTAACTCTATAGTGAGATTTGTATGTATATAAGGTATAATTATCTTGTGATGTGTGCACATTGGGACTTAGGCCAGTCTTTCTCAGAACAGACATATTTATCTGTAGGGGCTGGGAGAGACTTGTTCACAGATATCTGCCGAGGGCCAGCTGGAAACGCTGTATCTGCCCTCTAGGAAAGCAGCTAGCAGGATTTTGTACTTATGGAGGGATGGAGTTGCAAAACGGTAAATAGAGCTCAGGGAGCCTCCTGTAAGGGAGGTAAATGGAGGGTGGGTGGCCTCGGTTGAACAGATCGCGGGAGGAAAGGGGTAAACACTAGCACCCACCAAAAGGTGAGAACCGGTTTTGTGAGGGGCTGGCGCAGACGGCTGTGGTTGAGGAGCTTGGGAAAGGGGAAGCTGCGAAAACTCCAGCCTCCCCACTCCGAGACGAGGTCCACCGAGGACGCAGCCTTCAGCTGGGCTTTTAGTGCACTGGAGGATAGGGACTGTCGTGCCCCTCCTGCAGTCTTAGCTCGTTTCTCTTAAACCCTAATTTTTAGATGTCAAAGAGTGGGCTTCAGAGATAAACAGGTTTAGGCAGGGACAGAACGGGGAGCATGGGATGCACTTTCACTTTCTGATAAGTCAGGTAATCCAGGAGAGTGAGTTCATTTGGCCAAATAAAGCCTGTTTTTATCTGGGCCTCCTGCGCCCTGGCGGGGATGCAGGATGGGCCCGGAACTTGGTGGACTGAGGAGTGAATTTGCAAGAGCTAGGCCCGCTCTAATGGGGGTTTGTGGAGCTTGTCCTCACCACCTGCCCTCCTTCTCTGAGGCCTGAGTGGCCTAATTCCCTCTGGGTACACAGGGACTCCTCCAGCTCTCTAACCGTGCTGCCCTGAACCTTTTCGGGGAGAATCTGACTTTAGGAACAGAGCGCATGGACTTACTGCACTAGATCTTACTTCTCCACTCACAGCTACACCAACCACCCTTGCACCAGCCCCCTTCCAGGCGCCACTGGGCCAAGGCTCCCCAATTCTCCCCCTGCTACAAACCAACCCAGGAGGGAAATACCTCCCACCACCGCCAGTGTTTGTTTTTGTTTTTTAATCAGGGAGTCACAGATAACTTTGTTGAATGTGCGGAGGAGTTGTCCTGAACTCAGTGTCAGCGGCCAGCCTGCTCCCTCCCCCATCGCTAGGATACTGAGAAGGCAGTGGAGACCCTTGGACTGGGGCTAGCCACTATGTGCCACCATCCACACACCCCTGCCCACAGGACTAGGAAGTCCTGCAGCGCAGGGACTCTGCTGCCTGGCACAGTGTGGTTGCCCAAACATACTCGTTGAGGTAAACGGAAGGGCAATCAACATGAAAACTCACCCTCACTCTGCACACCACCATGGCTAGCAGGCACCTGGGTACCCGGGCTGCAGGGACCCTAGCCAGGCTGGGGGATAACATGGAGGCTGGCAGCAGCTTGGGCTCTGACGGGGCCTGCGGGTAGTAGAGTGGGAGACCAGCCTGGGCCTAGGATGGGACGGAGGCTGGAGCGAGGCACCTGGCTTCTGGAAATGTGAGGGTAAGCCAAGGCAGACCCACCTCCCGAGTGTACTTCTGCCTTCTATCTCCGGTCTCCTGGCTCCCTGGATCCCCAGATTATGAAAACTAAACCAGAGCTGAGACGTGGGCTAGGAAGGAATTGTCTGTCAACCCGAGGGGTGCAAAGAGGAACCACCACTGGGTCCATTAAGAAATCCACAAATAAAACAAAAATAAATCAGTGTGAGACAGCCAGCCTGGCTAAAGGAAAGCTTTCTCTCTATGACTCAGCCCTGCTCCAGGGCTACCAAACAGATCAGGCTTAATATTTAAAATGTTTAATAGTTATACACACACACACACACACACACACACACATTTTAGACGAAATCTTTCTTGGTAGCTCAGGCTGGAGTATAGTGGCGCCGTCTTAGCTCACCGCAACCTCTGCCTCCCGGGTGCAAGCGATTCTCCTGCCTCAGCCTCCCGAGTAGCTGGGATTACAGGCATGCACCATCATACTCAGCTAATTTTTTGTATTTTTAGTAGAGATGGGGTTTCACCATGTTGGCCAGGCCGGTCTCGAACTCCTGGCCTCGTGATCCACCTGCCTCGGCCTCCCAAAGTGCTGAGATTACAAGCGTAAGCCACCGCGCCGCCAATAGTAAAATATTTTCAAAATTTAATGTTAAAAAGGTCACAAATTTTCGGATCCAGTAATGCCTCTAATCAGATTATTTCTTTATCTTTTCTTTTCTTTCTTTCTTTCTTTTTTTTTTTTTTTTCGTATCACCAGTGTACCCTTTTTGGTTCCTGTGAAATAGTTCCTTTCAGGAGTTTGGAGCTAGGCCAGGCACCGTTGGTGAATGGGGCAGGTTTGGAGTTCCTCTGCCTAGTGTGGACCCTGGTCTGCAGAGAAGGGTTGGTTTCCCCCTCTCCCATCAAGGCTTAAGCAACGAGGACCCTCCCAAATTTGGCTCCTTTCCTCCTAAGAATCCTCAGAGGCAATGCACCATGTGACTAGGTGACTAGGTGAAGGACTGAGGTCCAGAGAGGAGCTATCTTAAACCTGGAATCCCATTTCCTAGTCTGTAGCCTTTGGCAGTTTCTCTGTTAGACAGCTAGCCCTCTCCTTTCTCCTCATGAATACCTATGGCCTGCAGGCACAGTTGTTGCTTTCCCTAAAGAAATGCAGGGAGGGAAAACTGATGGTCCTACATTTACATATATTTGCCTAAGAAGGGCTCAGGGCAGGTGCCTGGGCTCTGGCTAGAAGTAGGGGGGTGGAGGGGGTTGCTTACAGTTGCTGTAAATAGCAGATCACAATAGTGGCCAGGGTCTATTGGTTTGTCCTCAGCCAAAAGAGTCCTGGGTCCCTTTTACCTTGGCTGGAATGGCTCTTAGCTGTTTCTGGGTCCCAGACCCCTTTGAGAAGCTGACAAAAACAATTGGCTCACTTCCTAGCAAAATGCTAGAAGTGCCCTTGACAATTGCAGGAGTCCTAGAAACCTATGCTATCTAGATTGAGTATCCCTATTTTGTATATTTCCCCTTTGTTTCTGTGACCCAACGTCTCCCTAATTGCCTGCCTTCGCTTTTGCCCTCCCTAAGTTCCCTTGCTTGGATATCAAGAAGTTATTCCCTAAGTTTAATCCCCATGATTCTGGGCAGAGCTCCTTTTCTTCATTTCTTTGCTAGAGCAAGCACCTGGCAGAGACCTTGCGAGCTTCTGTTGAGCTGTTCGGTTCTCCTTCTGCAGAAACCAGGAGAATGGCTGTTAACTGAAGCCTAGTCTATATTGCCCAATTACTTGACTGATTCCGGGTGGCGCTGGGTGGGGGAGGGGGGCGCTGGGGGTTGTTGGCAGCTGCAGAGGCCTGGCTGTAAGGGGGTCAGTTCGCATCTTTAGTGGAAACTCGGAGCAGGAAGCAAGTTGCAATTGCTATTACAGTCATAATAATAACAATAATAATTTATTTAGCATATCATTAGATGTGTATTTACTGTCTTCCCTCTGCTTTTTTACAAGTGTCTCCTAAGGAATTTTCACAACACCCAGGGGAAACAATAATAAGCTAATTACCACCCTTCATTTCCTTCTCTCCCTCCCATCCACAAAGCCCCCCTCTCAAGATGGAGCGTTTACAGAACCCCTTCCTGTGTTTTACACCTGCTTAACACATTCTCCCCCTTCCCAATTCTCCTCTCTCATTCCCAGGTTTTCCAACCTTATTAAGGAAGTTTCCCCATCATTCAGAGGAGGAAAGTTTAGTTAAGGCCCAGAGAGACCCACTTGGTTGTAGTTGTTGTAAGTATTAATATGATTTCCCTGATATCACAGCGCTATTTAGGGTAGCGTAGGAGGAACCAGGTTCTCACTTCTCTGGCTGCTCTTTTTAGGGCAGAATCTGCCTACACAGGGTTTAGGTAGAGAGCGGATTAGAGAGAGAATTTGTGCTGGCATGATGCCAAAAAACATCGGTAGGAAAGTGTCCAGTCCCGCAGATGTAGCATCCACGCTGGTGGCCCTCAGCCTGTTCTGGTCAGATGTCAGAGAAGCCAGTTCTCACACATCTCGTTGGCCTCTTTTGGCAATGAAAGAAAGGAAAGAAGGAAAGGAGGGAGGGAGGGAAGAATATGTTCGTGTGCGGTGTGACTGTGTGTGTCTGTAGACACATAAATACATATTCAATATTCACACACACATTTTTTTCTTAGTAAATAACCATGATAATGGTTATACTTTTTCAAATATTCATTTCTTTGCACTTTCAAGTATATATTTATATCTTCTCAGAGATTACAATTAAAACAAACCAGGGAGCTGCGGTGGTTCAGGTCTGTTTCCCTGGTGCTTGAGGAGGTGAAGCTATGTGTTCGAGGTGAGCCTGGGCAACATTAAAAAAAAAAAAACAAATACAGGCTGGGTGCGGTGGCTCAAGCCTGTAATCCCAGCACTTTGGGAGGCCGAGGCGGGTGGATCACGAGGTCAAGAGATCGAGACCATCCAGGTCAACATGGTGAAACCCCGTCTCTACTAAAAATACAAAACATTAGCTGGGCATGGTGGCGCGTGCCTGTAATCCCAGCTACTCAGGAGGCTGAGGTAGGAGAATTGCCTGAACCCAGGAGGCGGAGGTTGCGGTGAGCCAAGATCGCGCCATTGCACTCCAGCATGGGTAACAAGAGCGAAACTCCGTCTCAAAAAAACAAACAAACAAACAAACAAACAAAAACCACACACACACACACACACACACAC